AAATAGATGGCGAAACAGTGGCTGACTTTATTTTTCTGGGCTTCAAAATCACTGCAGATGGTGATTACAGCTATTAAATTAAGAGGCTTACTCCTTGGAAGGAAAGTTATGACCAACCTAGACAGTATATTAAAAAGCAGAGACATTACTTTGCCAACAAAGTTCTGTCTAGTCAAGGCTATGGTTTTTCCAGTGGTCATGTATGGATGTTAGATTGGACTATAAAGAAAGCTGAGAGCCGAAAAATTGATGATTTTGAACTGTGGTGTTAGAGAAGACTCTTGAGAGTCCCTTGGACTGCAAGGAGATCCAACCAGTCCATCCTAAAGGAGATCAGTCCTGGGTGTTCTTTGGAAGGACTGATGTTGAAGCTGAAACTCCAATACTTTGGCCACCTGATAAGAAGAGCTGACATTTGAAAAGACCCTGATGCTGGGAAAGATTGAGGGCAGGAAGAGAAGGGGATGACAGAGGATGAGATGGCTGGATGGCGTCACCGACTCAATGGACATGGGTTTGGGTGGACTCCGGGAGTTGGTGATGGACAAGGAGGCCTGGTGTGCCATGGTTCATGGGGTCGCAGAGTCAGACACGGCTGAGCCACTGAACTGAACTGAGTAGCTCTCAGAGATGACAGAAAGTCATGAGAGTCTGCCTCATCACAGATGGGTGTCTTCTGTAAACCAAGGGATAGTCATGTACATGATTTTCTCAGGCTTTTTGTAATTATTTGATTTGTCCCTTGGGAGATTCTCCCACACTTTAATTTTCCAAATTGTTGTTAAGCCATGTTAATTCATGTTCTTTGAGAACTTATCATGCAGAAAGCTCTGTTTTAGGCAGCTGAGAGAAAATCAAGATGTGATATGAAATACCTAGCTGAGGTTTTAATAGCATTAAAAATTACAGTATCCTTAATGTGTTGAATAAAGTCAATCTGAAATAACTAATGCTACGAAAAATAGAACTTTAAGCATAACAAAGCTTATTACCAAGTTTTCATTATTTTGGCATGTATCACTTGGGCCTCAAATCTTCTGAGGTATTTGGTTCACCTGAATACTTCAGCATGTTTAACAGTTTGGAAAATCTGACAACTGAAAGTAAGGAATCTTGGGTGATTATTTTTTCTTACACTGCATAGGAAGGAAGAAAAAAATAAACTACATAGGATGTGTCTGGGGGTATTTTTTTAGTTATTCAGAAGTGCAAGCAGGCTGAAAATGTATTACAGTATCGTTCATTTGGCAATAAATGTGTCAATCATAAACAAATTCTTTGATTCATTAGCCCCTCCTAAAACTCTACCCAAAGGGATTAATCCACAACTGTCAATTCCGAGATCCCATCTGCCTTCATGAGTCACAGGTCAAATCACACCACGCCTTAAGTGTGCTGTAACAAAAAAAGGAGGGTTTGAGAGCTGCTGGCCTCAGGCTACTCCTTCGTCACCACCTGGGACATACCTTTCCTGCATCTCTCCAGGCTGACAGTTCTGAGTCGATTACTCGGGCTTGGTCCGCGGGCTCTGCTGTTTGTCTACTCCATGCGTGTGTTTCAGCTGTCCCCCAGAAGACCTTGCCTATAAACACCATGCCTGCCTTTTTCATAGTTAAGAGTTTACTGTCACCCTCAACCAAATTCTGTTGTATCCTCTCCACATCTCTATGGGTCCAGCATACAGAAAGCAACCAGTGAGTGAATGAATGAAGCAAATACCATTAAGACAGTCTCAGAGCTGCTCTCTCATTCTCGCTGCTTCGACAGACTTGACCATCTCATAGGCGCTTCCTAGTTCTTGGCTCTGACACTTAGCTGTTCTCCTCTCACCTTTCCTCGTGGCTCCTCCAGCTTTACATGGGGGCATTTCATAAGGCTCACTCCTGTGGGCTATTTCTGCAGTGAATCGGTATTACAGGTGAACCACTGTATTCTTAAAAATTAAGAATAATTTTTAAGTTAGGATCCCAAATCCTGCAGGAGATAGAAGATGGGTAGGAAAAGGATCCTACAAATATTAAATTCTATGCCTTCTCATTTTTAGACAATAGTATTTTAAAAGATTGCTTTTGTCATTACCACAGTAACATGCTCAGTGTAGAAATTGGAAATAAATATAAAAGCATTAAAAAGAAAAGCCTCTCATCATACCACCCAGAGAAGATCACAGTTAAGATGGATTTTTTTTTTCCCCTTCAGGATTTCTTCCATACCTCTTATATCAGTCCTGCCATCAATGTATTTGATTAAGATCCACTGCAATTAATAAGCACATAGGCTCTGGAGCCAGCCGGTCTGAGTTTATGTTCTAACTCCATCACTTCCAAGCGACATGGCCTTGGGCAAGCTACATAAACTCTGTCTCAGATTCCTCATCTGTTAAAATGAGTAACAATACCTATATACTTGCATATAAGGAATTGAAAGTGTTTATAGAGCACACAGTGGCGTGCCTGGCACAAAATTAATACTGTACAGGTAATCACCAGTATTATTTTTAAAGTTAAAAATCTTTAATGAAATGGTGAGTTACCTAAAAAGCAATACTTACATGAATAATCCTGAATATTCATTGAACGACTGATGCTGAAGCTGAAATTCCAATATTTTGGCCACCTGATGCGAAGAACTGACTCACTGGAAAAGACCCTGATGCTGGGAAAGATTGAAGGTGGGAGGAAAAGGGGACCACAGAGGATGAGATGGTTGAATGGCATCACTGACTCAGTGCACATGAGTCTGAGTAAACTCCAGGAGTTGGTGATGAGCAGAGAAGCCTGGCGTGCTGCAGTCCATGGGGTCGCAAAGAGTTGGATAGGACTAAGCGACTGAACTAAACGGAACACGAACAATGATCTTGTATATTTACAACAAAGAGCACTCATCCTGAGGGACATCCCTGGAGGTCCAGTGGTTAAGACTTCACACGTGCACTGCAGGACGCACTAGTGTGACCCCTGGTCGAGGAACTAAGATCCCCCATGCCACGTGGGATGAGGAAACTGAGACAAAGGTTAAGCAGTTTGCTCAAGGCCAAAAAACAAAATCTCATCCTGATTCTGAAATTAAGGTGGGAGATCAGTGATCTAGGAACAGGAACATCGAGACAGACCTTACCACCCTCCAAAGGTTACTACCTAGATATAGGTGAGCTAATATCAAGTTTTTAAAGCATACATATATAGACATACTTTTCTGAAAAAGTATATTTTTTAAATAACTAAGGACAGAGAGATCTAGAATGACACATCCCATCTATAACTGAGTTAAAGAGATGATTACTTGAGCTATTTCCCAAGGATGTTAAATAAACAGGTTTGCTCCATATTTCCTAGAGTTTATAATAAATTTATATTACATAATATATTCTTTAATTTGTCCTTTATAATATTTATTCTTCAGTGGTAATTACATTATAGTTTTTACCGTCTGAGCTACAGAACATCTGGAGAAGCAGATTAAGAAACCAGAAATGCTAATGTACCTTCTAAGATACTCTTTTGGAAGGATACCAACCCCACTGATTCATGTAATGGATTCACACTGGGAGACACCTGCTTTCTATATTGTGTTATCGGGCTGTTCCTGCAAGCCTTATATCACATGAAGAGGGTCTCTGTCTGTTTCTGACAGGATAATATTAATCTTATTCTCCAAGTGAGCACCCAGCATATCTCGAAGATCAGAAAGAAAGCCTCGTTCAGTGTTGCTGTGTTCACAGAGGATGACACTTATTCCTTGGGAAGCAGCATCCAGAACATCATGGTGGGACATCTCACCTGCCAACAAAAGAAAGAGCAAATATTTAAATATCAGACACAGTCTGTGGACTATAGCTCTGTGCTGAACCATAACAGCAGAAATACCAAGTTTTCATCCTATATGAAGCAAATGTAATACAGCAGAACTTTATACATGAATCTAGAAAGTTATATGCATGTTTCTTATATGTCCTCCAATTTACAAAGAGAGACCATCCCACTGAGAATTCCAGATTCTTTCTCCTTGGCATATGCAAGACAAGTATCCAAATTCACACATCCTACAGTATCTGATACCGCCAGAACTGACCTATAGGAACACCCATTCAAAAGGTTTCCACAATAAAATAAAATAAATGACCACTGCTTACCTCCCAAAGACTTCTTTATACTTTGTGAAATAGAGTTTAAGTGTTAGAAGCTCAGCCATGGCTGACCCTTTGTATTCCCATGGACTCTAGCCCACCGGGCTCCTCTGTCCATGGAATTCTCCAGGCAAGAATACTGGAGTGGGTTGCCATTTCCTTCTCCACGGGGTCTTCCCGACCCAGGAATCGAACCCAGATCTCCCACATTCCAGGCAGATTGTTTACCATCTGAACCACTAGGAAAGCCACTTATACTTTGCGAATACCAAAATTCTCAGCATCAACTGTAGTCTAATTCATAAGAATGAAATGAGCTTAAGGTTATTTCTAAATTAAAAACAAGGCATTTTCCTTTGACTCAGGCAAAACTCAGAGAAGGCACTGGCAACCCACTCCAGTACTCTTGCCTGGAAAATCCCATGGACGGAGGAGCCTGGTGGGCTGCTGTCTATGGGTCACACAGAGTCAGACCCGACTGAAGCGACTTAGCAGCAGGCAAAACGCCTAGAAATTCTGAAGTTACTGGTAGAAGAGGATCTCATCTTTTGTGGAAAGATTTTGGGAAAACTCAAATGCGTTGAATTTTTAAAAAACACTTTGTGAATGTGATGTAAGTGCAAGAATATTTGGCTTTTTCATAAAAAGCACAATTTTGAAATATACTTAAGACATAAAGGTATTTAAAAAAAGGTCTTAGGAAGAAAAACACCTCAATTTCAATTCCCCACACTCTCCCCTAGCCAAATACGTATCATTTCATTATGAAGTGTTAGCCACTCAGTCGTATCTGACCCTTTGCGACCCCATGGACTGTAGCTTGCTAGGCTCCCCTGTCCATGGAACTGTCCAGGCAAGAACACTGAAGTGGGTAGCCATTCCCTTCTCCAGATGTTCCCAATTCAGGGATCGAACCCAGGTCTTCTGCATTGCAGGCAGATACTTTAACATTTGCGCCACCAGGGAAGCCCTCATTATAAGGACTAGTTTCTACTCAAGCACCTTTTAAAATATCTTAATTTAAGTAATAGTAGAGAAAAAGTGAAAGGAGAAAAAGATACTAAGTGGCCCAGTTAGAAGTCATGCTTTAGGAAAGACAATCTGGCTGTTTGGACTAGTATACAATTTATATTTCCAAAGAGCAAGCTTGCCATCTGCTGGTCTTCCTAGGATACTACCCTTTATGATCTAATACGTAAAGCTCAAGGAAGGGTGATGAAAATGGTCTTTTTGGCTGGGGTTTCCCATCCCTAAAGTGATATTCAAAGTGACGCCTCACAGATTACAGACATCTAAAGTAAGCTAGATAAGACATTTTCTGTTTCCCCAACTAACCATATAAGAAGGACATTTTAACATTTTGGAACTGTGTGAATTTATCTCACGTACACACTGCTTTGTGATACGAAAACTAATTTTAAAAAGTCATTATTTATGAGAAAACAATCAGACATTCCAAACTGAGAGATATACAAAAAGGCAAATGGCCTATGCTCTTCAAAAATGCCAGTGCTCTAAAGACAAAGTTGAGAACTAGAACAGATGCAGTGTGTGATCAAGAATTGAGCATCAATCTGAAAAAGAAATACTATAAATTTTGATCAATTAACAATATTAAATTCCTGAATTTGGTCATTATAACATGGTCATATAAGGGAATGTCCTCGCTCCTAGGAGATAAAATGCTAAGGTATTTGAGGGTAAAACATCATCATATCTGTAATTTATTTATAAATAAATTTATTTATAAATGGTTTAGGAGAAAACATAAATACATATTAGGTTGGTACAAAAGTAATTGTGGTTGGTACAAAAGTAATTGAGATTCAAAAGTAATTGTTGGTGCAAAAGTAATAGTAACTCAGGCTGATGAAAAAGTAATTGAGGTTCAAAAGTAACTGCAGTTGGTGCAAAAATAATTGAGGTTGGTGTAAAAGTCAACCACAATTCTCTTGCACCAACCTAATACTTATGCATACACAAATATACACACACATATATGATGTTATAGAAAGACAGAATGTACAAATGTGGCAAAAAATAGCCATTAGTAATCAAGGTGAAGGGTATATAAGAGTTGATTATACTATTCTCACTGCAACTTTTTTATAGATCTAAAATTCCTTCAAAGTAAAATGCTAAATTTTAAAATAGAAACATCATGTTAAACTGTCTATACACTGAAAGTTTATTTCAATCTGGTATAAATTTGAGGGCTTATAAAAATCTTAAAATTTAGGTGACCTAGACAGGAAGGAAATCTAAAAAAGAGTGAATATATGTATACATATAACTAATTTATTTTGCTGTACATTAGAAACTAATACAACATTATAAAGCAACTATACTCCAATAAAAATTAAATAAATAAATAACCCCCTCTCAAATAAAACCCTTGCTTCTTTAGAAGGAAAGAAAAGAAAACAGACAATGGTCACATACATTTTTAATTGGTTCAAAGCAATACATCAGGCTTGCTAAGATGCTGCACCTATTCTCAGAGATATGACATTATTTCAAGTGCAGCAGCCTTCGTAAGGGAGTATGCTGGATAATAAGACACGGGTGTATGGTGACAGGAGAGATCTAGTAATGGCAAGTCCCAGAGGTAGCCAAAGTGGGCAAAGTAATCCTAAGCCCCTGTCTCCTAACCCTCAAGTGGCCCAGAGGTAGTAACTGCAGCTGGTAGCAGCAGGGCTCAAAGTGCCTCCAGCTCCCTTGGAGGAACAATGGGCCATGTTACCAATTAGGCATTACCAACAAGGACAGAGTATAGAGCTGGGAGTCAAACAATTTCTGTCCAAAAGGAATGCATATTGTAGATTAAGAACAAAGTGACAGGAATTGGGAGAGGAAGGTATGATCATCAGGGGTAGGAGCCGGACACTGTCAAGAAAAGGCTTCTCAGGGGAGGTTATCTTTGAGCTCACCACTGAAAGTGTAAGAAAGGAGCAGAGAAAAGACATCCTAGCCAGGGAAAACATCATGAGCCAAGACTGCACCAAAGAGGGAGGGGCGTTCCGGCTTCAGCAGGGCACACGGAGGAAATCGCTGAAGGGTTTTCAGCCACGGTAATATTACACACCATCACATCTGTACTTCTCAAAGCTAGTCCTGGGGGAGTGTGTGGAAGATTAAGCTTAGAGGCTTAGTGAAGTACTGTTAGGTAGGGGATGCCTGGACGGAGATAAGGGGAAAAACAGAAAGATTCTGGAGCTAGAACTGAGAGAAAGGGATCACTGCCTTCAGGGCCGAGTAAGAGGAACAAGTTTCTACCTAAGGTAAGAGGTAAAAAGTGTCCCAGTAACTTACGTGAAATCTGAGAGAAATCATGTTTAGGAACAAAATAGGTTAAATAAATGATGAACATCACTTTTTAGGTAATCTATTAGGTGATTTTTTTTTTCCTTCCACAAAGTATGTGGTATTTCCCCAGTTTTGACATAGTTCTTATTTAGTTCAGGTTCAAAAACATTTATTAGATCCATCTGTATGTTAGATGCTGTCCTAAAATCTGCTAATTTTTACCTTGTAAAAAACAAACCAAGGCAGGGAAGGGACACACAAGAAAAGGGAACAAGAAAGGTCCAACGCTGTCCTACCTGTGAGATAAAGGTCGGCGTCTGTCCCCTGCAGGACGCTGCTCCCAGAACCAGCGCACAGAGCCACGACTTTCACTGGGGACTCTTCACGATGAAGAAAGCAAGAGACCAACACTTTACAATTCCCCTTCACATTCATATTTCAATCTGTACCAGGCACCCGATATGTAATATCTTATCTTACCCAGTCTCATCACCGGTATGTGAATTTTGTGAAAAAAAATTTAAAAAATAATAGAACATGTCTTCATATAGGCAGACAGACTATTCCGTGGTATTACAGAGCTACCCTAAGGCAGGATTATTGCTCCTGTGGACACTCGTTGTGGCCCAAGCCCCTACGAGGTGCCTCCGAACAGCATTCACCACCATGAGCACCAGGTCTGAGGCTTTACTGGAGCGGCCCAGTTAAGCGACCTCACCTGGTCTCCAGGTGACAGTGAGAGGCAGGCACATCTGTCTCTGTTCCCAGGTAAGGAAGCTAAGGAGCTAAACAGGCTAGTGAGAGGATGCCATGTAACAGATTTGACACACATCTTTTTAACTTTTGATTTTATATTGGAGGATAGTTGATATATAGAAAACGAACTTACAGTTACCAGTGGGGAAGTACGGAGAAGGGATAGTTAGGGAATGACATGTACACACTGCTATATTTAAAATGGATAACCAACCAGGACCTACTGTTCAGCATAGGCAGCTCTGCTCGATATTACGTAACAACCTAAATGGGAAAAGAACAGGTGCGTGTATAACTGAATCACTGTGCTGTAATCCTCAAACTAGCACAACATTGTTAACGGACATATTTTTTTAATAGGGTATTTTCCTAAAACAACATCCTCTGGAGAGTGAAATACAGAAACTTCCAAGCCAAAATCCAAGAAGTGTTGAGCACTGAGGTTTCTAGAACAGACACTGCATTAGCAGTATTTCAAAAAAGGGGCAATGGGGCCGGTCAGAAGTCTTATACCACCTCTGCCACCCACCTTCTTTGGAAACGAGCACGCCTGAGTTGTTGGATCCAACTGTGGATTCTGGTCAAGTCAGTTACCTCTGCAAACCTCAATTTTTTTCACCTACACAACAGGAATAATAATACTTTCCAGACATCTAACAATAGCTAGCATTTACTGCACTTAATGTGTGCCAGCCACATGAATTGTATCACCACTTCCACGTCTGTCAGTCATGCAGCAGACACGACTGTTACATGAACCCTGGCGTCAGATCCACACTCATGACAACTGCACTCCACCTGTTGCCTTCGCAGTGGAAACACACACACTGAGGACACTCTGAATAGTCCCAGGCTCACTGCAGGGGCCCAGTAAATGTTCTGCTCGTTCCTTTTGTTCCCCAAAGTACAGGAGAAAGCCAAGAGAGAAGGCAGTGGCTACAAAACTCAGCAACCGCAGTCAATTACATCACCGAGCATAGCGGTACCTCACTATAAGTTATCACTAGTATTATAAAACTTAAGATCTGCCTTGTAACTGGAGCTATCATGGCTTCTAGCTTTCTTCCTGGAACATGGTAGGACTGCACTCCATGCTCTCCCTGGGCTGACTGACTCTGAACAATGAGTTGAAGAGAATATGTATCATTTCTAGACTACAATGTTTAACTGCAGTTTAAGACCCTCCCTCTTCAAGACCTGTCTACAATGAGCAGACTACCCTGCTGATCTGAGATGGACCTGGAGTGTGAATGAGAAATACATCTTGTTTAGGCCGATGAGATGTATACCACAGCATAATCTTGTCCACTCTGACCAATAAAGTAAACCAGTCATCTTCAGTGAGCTGCTAACACATTTCTATCATATTGATAGAGCCAAAAGTTTCCATTTTTGCCCAACATTATCAGTAGGTATGCTGGAAAAATATAAAAGACATACTTACCTAAGGTCTTCCCTATTCCAAGAGCAAGGCGGACATGAGATAGTTTTAGGTGGCTTTTGATTCGCTCAATCATGGTTGCCAAGGAGACAGACTCATCCAGTGTGCATAATCGTCCCATCCCAGTATGGAGAAGTAGAGGCTATAGAGACACAGAAATTAGGAAAACTGGACATCATCAGTCCTAGAAAACAACTGCATAGAGCAAAGAGCAAACTGAGATCCATAAAACAAGGGTACCATGAGCTTGCTATAAAACTAGCTCCAGGGCTTTTCTGGTGGCTCAGTGGTAAAGAATCTGTCTGCCAATGCAGGAGATACAGGTTCAATCCCTGATCTGGAAAGATCCCACATGCTGCAGGGCAGCCAAGCCCATGTACCACAACTATTAAGCCTGTGCTCTGGAACCTGGGAGTTGAAACTACTGCAGCCCTTGGACCCTAGAGCCTGTGCTCTGCAAGACAGAAGCCACCACAAGGAGATGCCCATGCATAGCAACTAGAGAGCAGCCCCCAATCACAGCAACTAGGAAAAAGCCTGCGCAGCAATGAAGACCCAGCACAGCCAAAAATAAATGGATAGATAAAAATTTAAAAAAGAAAAGTAGCTCCAAGCTAAAATTTAGGAATGCAAACCTGACAAAAATATTTTCTGACTTCTAGGAGCTCAGTCTCCTGAGAAGGTAGTTTTCTCTTTTCCTTTTTTTTTTTTTTTTGGCTGAGTGGCATGTGGGATCTTAGTTCCCTGTCCAGGGATCAAACCTCTGCCCCTTGCATTGTGAGCAGGGAGTCTTAACCAGTGGACCACCAGGCAAGTCCAAGATAGGCACTATTTCTTTATGGGATCAAAAAACAGTGACAAAATAGATGAGTTGAGATGGGAGGAAGGTGGGTACTTGAAGTAAGGGGAGTAAAATAAGCTTCTACAAGGACTTGGGTCTTGAAAACAAACCAGAGAGGCGTTAGGAAAGGAGTGATGTCAAGCGCAGGATGGTGGGTTAGAGATAGAGTGAGATGTGGTGAGGCATTCTACTTTTCTTTTTTCCTTTTTATTTACTTATTTATTGAGGCATTCTAAACAGAGAGAACATGTACAAAGGTGCCAAGGTGTGAGGGAGCACACGGGCAGATCTAAAAGCAGACAGTACAGCTGGCGTGCAGAGCGAGGGACGGGGAGGGAGGAGCTGGAGACAGCGGTCCTCGCTGGTCACGAAAGGCTACACACTCCAAGCCGAAAAGCCTGGACTATCTCCTGGAGGTGCCTGCTCAGGAGTTCACTGTGTCTTACATCCCAAGGGAGGGAACATGAGAGTTTCCGACTACTGTGGCGGCAAAGTAGAGAGGAGAATCATCTTGGAGATTAAGGGACAGAATCAGCAGGGCTTGGATGTATGGGAGCAAGGGAGAGCTGTGCAACCTGCAAATAAAACAGCTCTTAGGGTCACCGGTAAAACAGAAAAAAAAACTTGTATTTAAAATCATGGTATGTGGATAAGGTCAGTATGTGTACATATTGGATTTTAAATACTTGTGAGATCTGTAAGTGGAAAATGTTCAGAAAGTGGCTGGAAATACAGATTTTTAAAAAATTTTTACCTTTTACTTTAAGAAAGCATCCTGAGACAGGACGTAAAGACATAGGTATCAATACAAGTCAAGTTAAAGGAATGAATAAAATGGTCCAGGCAGAGGGTACAAAATAAAGAGACTGAATCTGTAACTGAGTCTCTAATCGTGAAGAAGTACCATCATGGTCTGGATGTTTCTGTCCCCCTCAAATTCATAGGATGAAATCCTAACCTATAGATTAGGAGGTGCAGCCTTTGGGAGGCACTTTCGGGTCATGAGGTTGGAACCCTCACAAATGGCATTAGTGCTTTAGAAAAGAGGCTCCAGAGAGATCCCAGGTTCCCTTCACTGTGTGAAGACACAGACAGAAGCATCACCTTTGAACCATGTAGTGAGCTCCCATCAGGCAACACTCAGAATCTGCCAGTGCCACGATTTTGGACTTCGCTTCCTCCATAACTGAGAGAAATAAATGTCTGTTGTTTATAAGCCATCCAGTCTACAGTATTCTGTTACAGGTAAGTTCAAACATGTTATGGCAGCCTGAATGGACTACGATATCTACATTTTTATATTCCTGAAACAGCTCCCTTGTTCAATAAACTTTCCAGGGCATAACATGCTTTCCTCACCACTTTGGGCTCCTACTCTAGGAAATAGTTAATAACCTGTTGAACTAACACTTTACATATGAATTTGTCAAACAAAACTGCACTGTAATGTAAAATATCTTTTATTACCTTCTCTAGGGACAGAATTTCAGTCTTCCGATAAAACTGCCTATTCTGGGAAAGAAAAGCCACCACCTGCATCAAAGCTTGCTGAGTACAATTCAGACTAAGCCGTGTTTGTTCTTCGTCATCAGTCCTGGAAAAAAAAGTCACTTGGTTTAGGATAAATATAAACAAAATAAATATAAATTTATAAATATATACATATATATAAAAATTTATGTATTTAAAATAATCCATAGTTTACAACATCCTGTAATAGGAGATTCGATTTATATGGAATTTAGGATTTAATTCCAAGCCATTTTCTAGAATAGTGTTTCTCAAACTTCAGCATGCATCAAAATCATCTCATGGCCTTATTAAAACAGATTTCTGGGCCGTACCCTCAGAGTTTCTGATTTAGTAGATCTGAGTGGGGGCTGAGAATTTATCTAACAAGTTCCAGGTGACACTGATGTGCTGGTCCAGGGACCTCACTTTGAAACCCCTGTTCTAGAACTGTTCTTAGTCCTGGTAGTGCATCAGAAATCTCCTGCTGGCTTCTTAAAATAACAGCTGCTGGACTCTTCTATAGACTCAGTGAAACAGAACATCTATGAATGGGGCTGGGGCAAACAATTTTTTTTTAAGTCCTAGAAAAGTTTATTTTCAAACATCATTGAATACAAGAATCTCCCAGACAGATTCTCAGGCAAATCCCATTCTAATTACACAGATTTAGGATAAAGCAAAAAATCTGCACTTTTGTTTATTTTTAATTGAAGGATAATTCTGCTATAATATCTCATTGGTTTCTGCCACACAACAACATGATGCATTTTTCAAAAGCACCCATTATGCTTATGATTCAGAGGGTCCCTGAATCACCCTTTAAAAAGCAACACACTTGGGAATTCCCTGCTGATCCAGCGGTTAGGAGTAGGTACTTTTATTGCCAGGGCCTGGGTTCACTCCTTGGTCAGTGAACTAAGATCCTAAAAGTCACGGGGCATGGCCAAAAAAAATTTTAAAAAGGAATATCCGAGAGCCTCTCCAAAAAAACTAGCATCAAGAAAGTTTTGTATTTAACCATAAACTCTAAATATAATCACAGAATTTGAGAACTAAAAGATACCTTACAAGATAATGTGGAAGCGTAGTTTCAACACTGGAACCATCTGCAGAGATTTGAAAAGAAAAAGCAAAAACAATGCCTAGTCCCAGTCTAATTGTTAAGTCTCAGATACTACCTGTAATATGGAGAAACTGGAACCAAACTAAATGTGTATCAGTTCTTTAAAAGGTCCACGAGTTAGGAAGCGAAATGCTTCAAGAAATTACAGTACATTCATAATAAGAAATCTACATGGAAAGATTACTATAACAAGTTGAAAAGGCAAATACAGCATACCATTTAATTTAAAAAAAAAGACTAAAATAAAACTATACATTCCTTCATGTCCCTATACATGTTTGGAAAGATACCCACTTCTCTGAAAACAAAAGACAAGACAACGTGAGTTGAAGATCTTGGGACTGAGTGGAAAGGATAAAGAGGACTTTGGTATTGTTTGAAGTTTTCATGCTCTATTTGTATAATTTTAATTTCAGTATTCACACAGTATTTCTGTGTGAATGGTAAAAGATATCTATGACTGGAATTTATGCAAAATCTTATAAATAATTTTCCTTAAGGTTCTTGAAATCCCCCAATACTACTATAGGACATTTACTATGGTTTTAGTATAATGTATCTGCACATAAAAACCACTCATCAAAGAGTCATTTTTGGTGGAGTCGATATGGATTTCCATTTTAGCTTTGCACAGTGGCAGTATCACAGCCAGTGAGATTTATCCAAGGCATGATTACTGCTAACAGATTTCCATTTTATTAAAAGGTCACTATATTTATCTTTGTTTTTTTTTATAATTAAGTCCTAGCTCTGTCTAATGTGTCTTTTACAATGCTTTAGTGGCTTCGCTGGTGACCCAGATGGTAAAGTATCTACCCGCAGTGCAGGAGACCCGGGTTTAATCCCTGGGTAGGGAAGATCCCCTGGAGAAGGAAATGGCCATTAGTAGGCATTAAGGTAAATTAGTCCCCCAAAAATCTCCAACGAGGCAACATTTTTTGGTATCTCAGGCCTAATTAAATAAATGATTGGCCTATCTGAGAGGCATTTTAATGTATTTTTTCCTTTCAAGTGTTTGGGAATCATCATTTGCTGGGAACTGATAAAAGTAAACCTATACTATCAGTATATCACTAGGGTTTATCTGCATACCCTAAAGTAAAAATAGCTTTCAACACTGTCAAGAGGATTAGAAATACTGTAAGATGTGTGATATAGTCCTTCCTGAACAGAAAATAGTCAGTAAGTGTTATCATTTTTATTGTATTGAAAAGATCCCATAGTTTTCTTTCTCAGGGACCCATATGCAAATGAGAAGAACGCTCTTTTTTAAACCTACCGGAGGAAAATTATTTCACCCAAGGAAAATAATTTGTTGTAAACTTAAATAGCAGGGTTATAGAATTTTTAAGAAAGATTCCTAACATATACACAAGAAGAGGAAAATATGTTGTACCTAGCAGAAAAAGAAGTGACAGATACACCTGCAATTTCTTTCAGTGCAGAAACGACTTTGTCCAGGTCTTGGGTGTGGGTAACACTGAATTCTACTCTGTGAGTTCCCTCCGTGGGGTAGTCAGGAGCTTTGGAAGGATGGATGGGCCTGGAGGTGCAAACACCTAGAAAAAAAATTGTCAGGAGTTAAAACAGATTTTGTGGGTTTTTTAAAAAATTAAAAACTACTACTGTAAGAAATGAGTATTCTTTAAAAGATTCATTCTTAGATGCTTCTATAGTAAACACACACAACATAGTCCTTACATATACACCCAATAGTCCCCATAACCTAAGGATTTCGTATTACCATACAGAATCATATTTCTTTTCAAAACTATTTTCCAGACGACTTAAATATCACAGAAAGTTGGACAAGACTGACTCATGAATTTCTGATGACATATAGAATTGTGACTGCTTACTAAATTTACTTGTGTAAACTATGATTCAAGTCACAAAGCTCATAATCCACTTGACCACACTAATCCAGGTTGTATCATCACAGAAGCTTCAGCCCAGCACAAGGAAACTAAAAAGGCTTACTAAAAATAAAGCTAAAAAGACGTCCACTGAATTCCCTCATTGTGCTGGGCATAAGCACCAACCCATTGAAACTATCTGACTGATATATGAAGTATACCCTGGAGAGGCCTGAGCTTTCAATTCAACAGGCATTTCTGGAGCACCTGAGTGCTAGGCACTGTGCCACTTGAGTAAGGAATCACAAAGCGCAGCCAAAAATGAAGATTTCCAACGTTGTCTTTATTCAATAAGAATAAAATTTCATTTTCAAATATAATTAAATTGCCAGGTTTCAGCAAGATTATTTTAAAATATAAAAAAACAGAATAATGGTCCCCATCCCTAAAGAGGTTAAAACATGATTGAAAAGACACTTTATAAAATTTCAAAGCACTGACAGGGAAAAAGCTAGATATGAAGGAACAAGAGGCTTCTCACCAAGCCCTTTAGCCAGCCAGCTGTTGACCCCCTGAGGAGCAGCGTCATAGGCAGTGTGAGGAGAGTAGATCCCAACTCTGTTCTCCAGTGCCCGGATCACCAGGCGCCCCTTCCACGTCTCCCAGGTGATGCGCTTCATGGGTCGGAAAACAGGCGGATGGTAGGAGAGGATGAGATCCGCCTTCTTCTGCAGCGCCTCCTCCATCACTTCCTCCGTCAAGTCATTGGTCAGGAAGAGCGTGTTTACAGTGTGCGGCGGGCTCGGTTCCACCAGCAAGCCAACGTTGTCCCAACTCTCAGCAAATGAGAGGGATGCAAAGTCATTCAAGGAGGAAAGGAGAGCCTTCAGATCCATGAAGGAGCGGGAAGAACTGTAGATCAGGGAACGGACCAGGCGGGCTGTCGTGGCGACCAGGCGTACACGAGATGACAACATGCAGAAGTCAGGTAAAACTGAGGATCTGAAGTCAAACACAGACTATGGAGCACATGTACACTTTACAGACTCACACCTTTTTAGACAGCAAAGTATATGAGCAAAAGAGCTGTAGTCTCACACTTAAAAAGACAGACAGACATGATGGCATGCATACTCAGTTGCTTCAAACCCAGGCCTCCCACATTGCAGGCAGATTCTTTACCAGCTGAGCTACAAGGGAAGCCCAAGAATACTGCAGTGGGTAGCCTACCCATTCTCTAGCAGATCTTCCCAACCTAGGAATCGAACCAGGGTCTCCTGCATTGCAGGCAGATTCTTTACCAACTGAGCTATCACGGAAGCCCACTCAGTTGCTTCAGTCGTGTCCAGCTCTTTGCAACCCACTGGACTGTAGTCGGCTAGGGTCCTCTGTCCATGGGATTCTCCAGGCCAGAATACTGGAGTGGGTTACCATGCCCTCCTCCAGGGCTTCTTCCTGACCCAGGGACCAAACCCACGTCTCCTGCAACTCCTGTGATGCAGGCAAATTCTTTACTGCTGAGCCACCAGGGAAGCCATACCTAAGTTCAAATATTGGCTCTATCATTTACCAGCACATGGTATCACAAGTGAGTCACTTAAGCGCTCTGAGCTTGTTTTCTCATCTACAAAACAGAGATACTATAACTTACTTCATAGGTCATCTGGAGGAGTAAATGAATTAATATGTTTAAGTCACCTTGCACAAGCCTGGAGTGTGTGTGTGTTTGTGTGTGTATGTGTGTGCACATGCATGTGTGTATGTGTTGCTCAGTGGTGTCTGACTCTTTGCAACCCTTTGGACTGTAGCCCACCACACTCTTCTTCCCGTGGAATTCTCCAGGCAAGAATACTGGAGTGGGAACCATTCCCTTCTCCAGAGCACAAGCCCTGTACATAACACACAATTACATTCACCCCCTCCTCCCTGTCCCCCCCACACCCTCTGTTCTTATTCTCCTCACCCTTACTTCAACCTTCCTTCTTCACTTCTCTAGGTATTACACTTCCTCCCAAGACCACTTCGACTTCCTAAATAAAGCTTTTCTGGACAAACTTTCTCTTTCAATGTCTCCCCTGTTACTCCAGACAGTCTCTTAATTGATGTTATATTCCTGTTTGTCTCCCCTAAAGCTACCAGAGAACAGGAACTATCTTTTCTGCATCTCAGTATCTCCAATATGGGTCAGCACTAAATGCTTACTATACACAGACACAGTTTCCCTTCCCCTATCATAGCAGAATTTGGAGTTAGGGTGGTGTATACTGACATTAAAAAGTGCTTTATCAGAGTGTTCCCTGGTGGCCTGGTGGTTAGGATTCCGGCTTTTGCTATTGCTATGGCTTGGGTTCGATCTCTGGTTGGAGAACTGAAATCTCTCAAGCTGTGGGGCATGGCCAAAAAAAAGGTGCTTTATCAAGAAAAAATAATGATACCATATATAAAAAATTAAGTGGTTTATCAGTAGCCAGAACCACGGGATGCAGAGGCGGGTCACTGTGAATCGGCAAGGTCAAGGCAGCAAAGGGGTAGGAGATGCTGCCCCCGAACAAACACCTTGGTGCCAGAGGCCAGAACCAAGAGGTGGGAGGGGTGGAGGGCAGGGTACTCTGTCCGTAGAGTCTGTCAAAGCCTTCTAGACGTCTGTATCCTATACAAAAAACAACACTGTCAGCTCAATTCTTAAACTAAGTATCTATGAAAATTCTTTGAAGAAAAGCATTTCATGGTATGCAAATTAGAAAGAAAGCAGTCAACTGTAGTAAATTCTAATTTAAATACTTGTAACTCGTTAACTTCGGAAACAATTTTTTAAACTTTTATTTGTACACAAAAAATATTTAATATTTAATGCACTTATACAAAATATGGTTTGGAGTGATGTGGAACCTCCACAAACCCCTGAAATGGGGTCTTAGAAGATCTTCTAAGTGTCCTTATACCACTTGCGGGCTTCCCTGGTAGCTCAGCTGGTAAAGAATCCGCCTGCAATGCCGGAGAATGCAGGAGGCCTGGGTTCGACCCCTGGTTGCGTACATTCCCTGGAGGAGGGCATGGCAACCCACTTTGGTATTCTTGCCTGGAGAATCCCAATGGACAGAGGAGACGGGTGGGCTACAGGCCATGGGGTCACAAAGAGTCGGACACGACTGAAGCACTAGGTACCACAGCACACACCCCTTCCAATTTCCAAATTCCAGGTCCTGATACTAATCACTCCGCTCTACAGACTCTTCTAAATCTGGCAAGGGCTAAAGTGAAGCTCTAGTGGTCTATCACGCCGGTGTTGATTTATTTACTGTTAAATTTTTTAGGACTTAAAGGTAACAAAATACTCCCCATCCACAACGAAGCTGCGTAGCTTGAAGCCACAATTAACAAGAATGCGAGGCGGCCCAGCATGGTAGAAGACCACAGACTCTAAAACCAGACTGACTCCCAGAGCCACAGCTGTCTGCGGTTTCCACCTCTGAAGGATGGAAATAATAGTCTCCAGCTCACAGGGTTGCTGCAAGATTTAATCGTAAAGCTGGGGGAAAGTACCTGGCCCAGAGTCAGCGCTGTTTAAGAATCACTAGCAGGGCCATTTCACAGCCTCCAAACTGCCCCCCCCCCCCCCCTTTTTCCGTCCCACTTCAGACGTTTTCCAGGACAATGAAGAGAGCAGGTGGCAAGGCCGTAAACCTGAGAATCAGGGCCCCGGCCCCTCTAGAGCCCTATCCTATCTCGACGCAACCGGGTTTTCTGCGCCTATCTCTGCCCTGTGGCTATCAGGTGCTGCCACAGCCCTCCACCGAAGGCTCAGCTACCCATGCCGAAATTCGATTCTCCCAAGACTCACCAGTCCCGGGACTCCGCGAGCGCTACTTCCGGTCCTGCGCGGAACTTCCTGGTGTTGTGAAAGTGGGCGGGACACCGGAGCCGGGCGGAAGAGGTCCTTTCCATTTTACATCTGAGCCCAAGGCAGTTCTAGAGGTTGTCCGGAATTAACGCTTCTTGTCCTAGTGTAATTATTGAAAGAGCCCCCTTTCAAGGTCAGAAGTGTTCCTGGTGGGGAACAAATCATACATTCTCTCCCTAGTTCTTCTCGTTTGGGTTACAGATAGGGATGGGGGAAGGGAGGACGCGAACAGGCAAGGGGCGTTCTCTCTAATGGGTCTCTTGCTCGACTTCCGGTGGCATTTCGAATCTACAGACCCGTGGGGGCACCTACGATTGCATCTTTGCTGTTTTAGCAACAACTGTGCTAATCGAAGTGGTTGAGTAAGTATGAGGTAACGTCAGTTATTGTTTCATTAACTTAACTCAAGTGCTTGCAGGGCGCTGTGTGTTTCAGTTCTTGTTCTGCTTACAGTGAGTATTTGTTCTGTGCGGGGAGGGTGACGACTAGTAAAGAAAAGAAGGAAAGTGAAGTCGCTTAGTCGTGTCCAACACTTTGCGACCCCATGGATTATAACTTATCAGGGTCCTCTGGCCATGGGATTTTTCCAAGCAAGAATACTGGAGTGGGTTGCCATTTCCTTCTCCAGGGGATCTTCCCAACCTAGGGATCGAACTCAGGTCTCCAGCGTTGCAGGCAGATGCTTTACCATCTGAGCCCCCAAGGAAGCCCATGTAGTGTACTAGTGGTAAGTGCTCTGAGAAAAAGAAATCTTTAGCAGGTTTACCCAGACATTTGAGCAGAGATTTGGAGGTGAGGAGACTAGCCATACAGATATCTGTGTGTTCATGTTCCAGGCGAGGGGAGCACCCAGTGCCTGGACCCCAAGGCGGGAATGTATTCGGCCCTTGAGAAGTGAGCAGGGAAAGAGGAGTTTGAGGGTCTGGAGTCGATTAGTTTCACCTGATCGCTTCCATAGCCGAATTTTTATTACTTGGGTAGAATGGGTACTCGTTGACACTTTTTCTTTTAAATATGCCATAAAGCTGAGCTTGTGTGAGTTAAGAGAGGGAAATGAACTTAATTCTCTTTTCTTTTGTAAATAGAGGCTCGTTTTTGAACTTCTCTCAATAAACTCTGAGAAAGTAACAGTGTTTCCTGAAACCATCAAGAAAGAAAATGGTAAATTTTATGGAATTCTTATGAATGTCTTTCATAATAAGTAATTTTTTTTAGAAACTCAATCAAGGGAATTAAAACTGCATGGAAATTTCAGTGACAAAACAGAAATAATAAGCTGAAGAACTATACAGTGTAAAATGATTCTAAACAAAACCAGCAAAGGCAAAATTGAATTATGTTTTTCACTTAACACAGAATTTACCTTTGTATGGAAAAAGATTGATGAGAGAGAGAGAGATGGAAAGGGGTTGTTGCAGAAGAACATAGTCAGATGTGGTCATTTTCACTGGATCCTTTTGCTCTTGATCTAAGATGGACAACTGGAGCCGGAGATAGAAAGCAGTGTGCCCCACCAACACACACACATTCCTGCCCTCTTTCTTCAACTTAGTCATACTCTGACTGCTACATACTGTAAGGTACAGTTCCGGCGAGGCAGAAAAGGAAAGACGACCTCAACAGAAGTAGGTTACCTTTATTCAGGCAAGGAGGGGCGACAGTCGGCCTAACGACCAGGCTGAGCGCCGAAAGGGATCAGGGAGGCTTCATTCTTATAGGGAGGTTTGTGGAAGCGATAAGGGAAATGTCAATCAGGCGGGATATTTTGAGTATCCTTTTGTTGAGATGACACTTGTAGTTGGGCAGGGGGTGATAAGTCTTCTGGGCGGGTGTAGGGGGTGGTAGGTTTCCGGACAGGGGGTGATAAGTCCCAGATAGATGCAACTGGCCTGGAGCATCAGATGGAACTAAAGTTGTGCTTTGTTTTCTCTGAAGTTAGATGATTCTGCAAGGGGCCTTTGAGACTGTTGTTCTCTTTTCTAGGCCCAAAAGACTCCTTCAAAATGAGACTAATTACAGTACCTATCTAGTGAACAAAATAATGTGTATAAAGTGCTTAACACAGTATTTGGCACATTGTTCGATAAATGTTAGCTATTATTATTACTATTACCAAATATTGAATAATGCCATATATATAAAGCAGTACATCATAGAAATTATGAGCCTGGGTTTTTAGAGTCAGACTGAATTTGGGTTCTAGCTTAGGTACTTACCAGCTTTGTGACCTTAGAAAAGTCACTTAGCCTCTCTGAGACTCAGTTTCCNCCAAAAAAAATAGAAAACTTTTCTATAAAGCCATCGTCAAGAAAAACCATCAATCATAATTTCTGATCTAATTTATACTTTGTTCTCTTTTAAATAAGTTATTTAGTTTTTAGCTGTGCTGGGCCTCGAGGCTGCATGCAGGGCTTCTCTAGTTGCAGGGAGCAGGACTGCTGTCTGGCTGCAGTGCATCAACTTCGCTTTCTGGTGGTTTCTCTTGTGGAGCATGGGCCCTTGGCAGACAGGCTCAGTGGTTGTGGCACACAGGCTTAGTTGCCCCTTGGCATGTAGAATCTTCCCAGTCCAAGGATTGAACCTGTGTCCCCAGCATTGACAGGCAGATTCTTAGCCACTGGACCACCAGGGAAGTCCACTTCTTTTTCTGGTGTTAAAAGTGAATTAAAGACAGGGTAGACAGTTTTTCTCTTACCAGAGTGTGGCTGGTATCTATTTCTCTTGGCTCATTTTTCTCGAGAAATATAGGGGAACTGTTCCGTTCATTATTTCACTTGTTTAAACAACAAGGATAGAAGGAAACAGGGAGTGCCTTGGCGGTCCAGTGGTTAGGACTTGGTGCTTTCACTCCTGTGGCCTAGGTTCAGTCTCTGGTTGGGGAACTAATATCCCATAAGCAGCGTGGCATAGCCAAAAAGAAATACAAGAAGGGGAAAAAAAAGAGAGTCAGCTATATATATTCATTCATTCAGCAATTTTGCTTATGAGAAGCTATCTTGCCAGCATCTGGAACTTCAGTGATGAACAAGAGACATTCCTTGCTCATGTGGAGCTAATATTTATCTGATAGGCAGGGGGGGATTCATTCTAGAAAAAAATGTAATTCTAGAGGGAAATAATGCCTTGATGGAAATAAAGTGTTGGGATGGAGAATAGTGGGAAAGGGTTTATTTAAAAGAAGGTGAGGGCAAGGCTAGCCAAGAAGGTGGTACCACACTTTAAGAACTGAGTGTGAAAGGTAATCAAGGCATCTTCATGGAAGGACTTATAAAAAAGGACGTTCCAGGTATAGAAATAGGTACAGGGCCTCAAGATGTGACAGCCTGAGTTTTTTTAACAAACTTTCAGAAGGCTGATGGGGTTAACAAAGTAAGTAGCAGGGAAGGAGTGATTATCGTTATGAGACGCAGAAGTAAGCTAGATCATGCAGGGCTTGCTAGGCTCTACTGAGGATTTTGTATTTTCTTTCAGAAACAGAAGGAAGCTATTGGAGAGTTTTAGTCAGTGACTTTACCCAAAGTAATGCCTAAAAGACATTGTTTAAATAGGTTGTTGCAGTATTTCCAGTAAATACAATTCATTTGTTATCTAAAATATGTTTCTGCTACATTTCTCAATCATTATTTTTACTCTCCAGAATTTCTTGGCTCTTTGTGCCAGTAATTACTACAATGGCTGTATATTTCATAGAAATATCAAGGGTTTCATGGTTCAAACGGGAGATCCAACAGGTAAGTGATTCCAGTTAATACGTAGGGAATTGAATATATAGTGTAAAGAAGAGACTAGCTAAAGAATAGAAAAATAAAAGCATGTGGGGTTTTTTATAACTTACCTTAGCAAGAAATTTTAAAGCAGTAGCTACTAGCACCAAAGCCCTAAAATATGAACAATATTGATAAGGAGGGTTTGGAGGTTTTGTAGAGAAACTTTATTTTTATGTTCTTTAAAGTTCATTTTGGGGAAGAAAGAAAGGACATATCAGATTTTATTTGTATTTAAAGGGTTACACTATATAAACTAGCCCTTACATTTAGAAAATGAACCCTTTCACCTTTAATTAGATACTTCATTTGTTTCTCTTGTAATACAGGTACTGGAAGGGGAGGTAACAGTATCTGGGGCAAGAAGTTTGAAGACGAATATAGTGAATATCTTAAGGTATATCCAAAATACTTCAGAATCTTTTTTCATGCTGTGTTTACACTTGGAAACCCATACATATGTTGTAATAATACAGGTTAAAATAATTAGTAAATATACTTTTTTTTGTAATTTTTCATGTTTGATAAGTGATGTCAGAGAAGAAATATAAATGTCAGTTCTAGCCTAATATATAATGGAATCTCACCATCACATGAATCTTGACATTAAGTGAGCTCATCTTTGGGTCCAATCTGAAATGTTTAATCAGTAATATACCTGTGGGGCTTCATGTCTCACTATAAAATTCATGTTGAATGACATGAATCATTGGTCTTCTTTGAGAGTGGGGAGGAGAGACTGTCAGACCTCCTGGGTGCAATATTGCCTATTATCAATTGCCAGCTTTTTATCATCTTCTAGATATTTGAATATTTCTGTATTAACTTCACTTAATGTCTATGGTAGATTTCAGCTAGGTCTCAGAAAAGTGCATATAAATAAATCTTCAGCATAGAAGAATTAGATACTTATATTTCCTTTGTATTTTTTCAAACTTTCTAAAGAATTTTCTTTTTTCTAAAAGTTAAAAAACTAGTACATATTAATAAAAAAAAAAATTTCCATTCTCCAGAGATGACATCAGTTAACAATTTATTGTGTGGTTTTTCAATCTGAATATGTAATTTAGTATATTGTTTTGCAGTTACAGTAAAATGTACTAAGCAAAGCTTCTAAAAATACTCACTTCACTGTTTAATCTCTGGATGGTGACTGGGAATAATTTATCTTTTTGCTTTTCTATAATAAATAAATATTGTTACAAAGTTGGGGTTAGGAGGTGATAAATTATTTTAAAAGTCATCCTTTTCCTGAATTGGAAATGAAACAGTTTTTTAGGCATTGATTAATGATGGTACTGATCTGTCATCCTATACCAGTGATTTTCAAACTTTGCTGGTGACAGATTGACCTGTAGAAGTTTTAAATTAAAAAAAAAAGAGTTGGGCCTTATCTCCCTAAATCTAGAGAAAAACAATAGAACTGATTAGGACTGTGAATACATTTTCAGGTTCCCTGGTGATTCCTACACAAACAAGGTTAAGAACTATTTTCTAACATACCAGAAATGCAGATGCATGAATAGTCACATACTCTAACCCAGAAATTCCATCCCCACACGTTTACCCTAGAAAAATTCATGGACATGTGCACTAGGCAACATGTACAAGTGTGTTCCTAGAGTACTACTTGTAATAACAAAAATCTAAAAATAATGTCCATCAATCTTTGAGTGGACAAATTGTAGTATATTCAGTAGTAAAATATTACACAGTGGAAGAAATATGTATAATACATGTATGAATCTTAGAAACATTATGTTAAGTGCAGAAATCATTTTCTAGAAGACTAAAAATGGTATTAACTATTTTATAGAACTCAGAAACCAGCAAAAGGAAACAATATATTGTTCAGGCGTTTATAAAGATATTAGAATACTAGTTACCACTTCAAGAGGCTGAAGTAATAGCTGAGAGGAGCACATAGGCATATGCAACAATTTGGTAAATTTTAATTCTTAAAGCTTGGAAACAGGTTCATGGTTGCTTATTTTATTATACTGTAAGTGGTACATATATTCTCATGATGCATCAAATACATTTCGTTGGTAGTCACCTTTTAGGGAGACAGTAAAGCTTTAATATCCATGTCGTTGCATCTCTGTGGTTTGTCTCACTACTGTCTGCTGATGGATAGCATCAGACAGAGTCATCATTGGAGTTACTTTTAGTGTATTTTATATTTGGGCATCTCCCTGTAAGATAGTTCTGTCTTCAATCTTGTTGGTGAAGTTCTTTTAACTCTGGTACACATCCCCTGTTATAACAGGGTAATGAATAATAGACAAGGCCTTCCTTAGATCATCCAGTCCTGGGTTTATGAACTGACTGCCCATAGGTGGAAGATCCACAGATTCATTCTCTATGGCCTTTGGTTTAAAAAAATTGTAAATGTCATGAGGCAAGAGATACACTATTCCTTTTGCCAGATGCCACCATTCCCTAATGTCTACATTCTGCCCAATTATCAATTTATTATCTGCTAACCCTTGTGAGAATTTGAATTATGAAAAAAACCCTGAACTAGTCCAACCTCCCTTGTTTTACAGATAAAGAAACTAGCCAGAGTCCAGTGTATATGTGAAGAGATTATGGGCATTTTGGTTTTGTTGTCTGCCTGATGGTTTCATGCCAGCACACTGTTCCTTAATATAAATGTAAGGATTATTTCTATTATACATTGGTGTTGCTGAAAGTGTTTGTGGCTCTACTTCTCCAAAGAGGAAATTGAGGAATATGATTTGGTATATAAACAATTTACATACAAGTTTTGAGAGATACAGATAATACAGAAACTGAACATTTGGACTAGCCCTGGTGGAACTGATTACATGTTTTCTTGATCTTTTAAATATTGGGAAGGTGAAGAGTGCATGTCTTGTTTCAGTCCTATATTTGGAATTCTTATGTAAAAACAATTCTTTGGTCTGTCTTTTTCAGCACAATGTTAGAGGTGTTGTATCTATGGCTAATAATGGCCCAAATACTAATGGATCTCAGTTTTTCATCACCTATGGGAAGCAGCCACATCTGGACATGAAATACACAGTATTTGGCAAGTGAGTATTCTGGTTTGGAATTTCACTGCAAGGGATGCATGAGTGGCTGTGATCATGGCCTAACTAGTATTCAAAGAGCAGTATGAGAACTAAATGTACCTGAAATTTACATCCACCACTTAATAGCCATGTGACCTTGGGTAATTTACAACCTCTCTCAACCTCAGTTATTTTGTAAAGGAACACCAGCACTTTTTTCAGGATCTTATGCAAATTAACAGTATGTATTGTTTTCATTCAGAATAGCATTTTGTATCAACACATCTGAAAAACAGTTGCTTAAACAAGATGAACTGGGATGGTGGTTTTAGTATGTCACTGATGTCCCAGGTGCCTTTCTTTTTTCTCAGCCATCATCAGCTTTCATTCTGAAATTCACCTCATGGTTATAATTTAGGCAACAAAGCTCCATTCAGAACATTTGTGTTCCAAGCAGAAAGCAGGAGGAAAGGCAAAAGGTGCTTGCCAGCTGAATCAGTCCCTTTATAAAGAACTTTCCTGAAGACCCAGGCCTTACTTACAAGTTCAGTTCAGTTCAGTCGCTCAGTTGTGTTAGGCTCTTTGTGACCCCATGAACCACAGCACACCAGGCCTCCCTGTCCATCACCAACTCCTGGAGTCTACCCAAACTCATGTCCATTGAGTCGGTGATGCCNTTCTGCCATAAGGGTGGTGTCATCTGCATATCTGAGGTTATTGATATTTCTCCCAGCAATCTTGATTCCAGCTTATGCTTCCTCCAGCACAAGAGAGGGTAGGAAATATTTTTCAGCTAGATATATTGCCATCTCAATAAAATCAGGCCTCTATAAATAAGAAGGAAGGGGAATAGAATCCTGAGGAGACTTTTAGCAGTCTCTGCAAGAAAATCCATTAGATGCACTATCCCTGGGAATTGCTTTTATAAATCAACATGAAATCAGTTTGTCAACAAATTATTTACTGTGTCCAATAAACTAAGGCACAGTTCTAGAGTTTGTTTTATTTAACAGTTTGGATGCAAAGCTAGTTTAATTAAAAATACAAGAGTCTACAACTTTTCATTTTCATTCCATATGCATTTCTAATTTATAGATTAATACTTGATGAAAAGGAATATTATAGCCTTTAAGTAGTTTTTGTATGTATATGGATACACTCCCTTTATTTTGTCCCTAACCCACCATTCAGAATTATTGCTTAGTAATTAGTAGGAGTTATCTTACTGAATTGGTTAAAAAACACTGTAGCATTAGCCTTCTTAATAGGATTCTTCTTGTAGCACTCTTAACCTTCAGTCGAGCAACTCCTTGAAACTCTTTTCTGTATATGCACACACATTTTTCTGAGAAAATGGTTCATAGCTTTTGTTGGTTCTCTAAGGTACCCATTCCCAAATACTTACCTTACCTCAACTCTCCATGCCCTTTTTTGCCTAAGGTTTTTTTCCAGCACCCTCTTTTTTCTCTTACTGACCCAGAAGGTGGGAAACCCTTTAAAATTTACAATTTAAAGACCTTAACTGCCTACCTTTGGGCGTAAAATCAAAAGGCTTTGGCTATAATAACATTTTAATGGAAATGTAAAATAAAATGGGAATCTGTTATTTTAAAAGTACCTACTCTAAGTCTTAGGAATTGATTCAAATTACACTAAGAGGTATAATCTAAAAAGCCACTTGGTCTTAGTAGACTAAGTTTCTAGAATATATTAGAAAAACAGCTGTATTTTTTTTTTCCTCTGGTAGAAACATGAAGTGGGCTTGCCGGAAGTGGGCTTAGCTGTCCATCTTCTCTTCAGTATTTCTTCTTGTAGTTTAGAAGCAAAAAATAAAAACACCATGTTTAAACACTAAAGTACAAAGAAGCTACCCATGCCAGAACCTTCAGTGTAGGGCAGTTCTCATAATAACTGTCATCCTTACATACTTTCTCCAGGCTTTTCCTGTAGCAAAGAAAACCTTCTGACTGCTTGTATTGGCCCCATTTGTAGCTAATCCATGTGAATGAGGCAGAATACATCATTTAGATACTTTGATGGGAATATTCCTGCCCATTGCTTCTTTTGTCTAAAGGCATAAACATGAATTTTTGTTTCTGAATTTTGGGCTCTACTTACGGCAGAAAATCAAAGCAATAGCTGATTGTATACTCAACAGGGGAACTCAAAAAACTGTACGACTTGGTCAGTTTTCTCTTAGAGCGACTGTAATTGTTGTAGGTATTTGGATATTATGTTTCAATTGTAGGAAATTTTCAAACATTATATTGTTTCTCTTTCAGGGTGATAGATGGTCTGGAGACTCTAGATGAACTGGAGAAGTTACCCGTAAATGAGAAGACATATCGACCTCTTAATGACGTACACATTAAGGACATAACTATTCATGCCAACCCATTTGCTCAGTAGCTATAATAGACCTGGACAAATACTTGGCAAACTATTCAAGGAACACACCTATTATGGTTCACTCAGTTTTAATTACGTCAAAGATTGCAGCTTTGTTTACAACTAAGATCTTCTGTGAGGTGCTGGTCCAAGAGGGGACAAACAGTGTTTAGTCCTGTTTTTAGAGCATATTCTATGACTATTATCTAATGCATTTCTTTAATTAAAAAAACCTGTGTTTAACTTTGTATTTTCATGTAAACATTCATTTTTAAATGCTGAGTGTCAAATGCAGGCATTTTTACATACTCCTACCTAATTACCTAATTACATACTCCTACCATATCTAGTCCACATCCTGTTCAGTTCACTTCAGTTGCTCAGTCATGTCTGACTCTTTGCAACCCCATGGACTGCAGCACGCCAGCCTCCCTGTCCATCACCAACTCCCGGAGCTTGCTCAAACCCATGTCCATTGAGTTGGTGATGCCATCCAACCATCTCATNTTCCCCATCTATTTCCCATGAAGTGATGGGACCAGATGCCATGATCTTAGTTTTCTGAATGTTGAGTTTTAAGCCAACTTTTTCACTCTCTTCTTTCACTTTCATCAAGAGGCTCTTTAGTTCTTCGCTTTCTGCTATAAGGGTGGTGTCATCTGCATATCTGAGGTTATTGATATTTCTCCCAGCAATCTTGATTCCAGCTTGTGTTTCATCCAGTCCAGCATTTCACATGATGTACTCTGCATATAAGTTAAATAAACAGGGTGACGATATACAGCCTTAACATATTCCACATCCTAGAAATATTTCTATTAATTAACTATTTACTTTGTACAGTTAGAGGAAAGATAAATAAAGAGATAGCCTAGAGAGGCCAGTCAATCCATTTGGTATTTTCCCTGGTGTTTAAATTTATAGTAAAGGCCCAGAGAAGTCCTGGAGTACAGTGAACACTCAGAATTCCCTAACTGATTTGCCCATGGAACATCTTTTTAAAGCATATCTTTTTTAAAAATGCAGGAATACATAAATGCAGGATAAGAGTTTTACAGATGATCCATTTGGAAAATACAATTAGTTGTAGAGTCCTGGTCTGGGTCTGAATCACAGCTCTGCCTCCTACTAACTAGGCAAGTTAACATCTCCAAGCTTTAATTTTCTCATAAATAATCCTCCATGACTCTTGTTAGGATTAAATGACACAGTGTGTTTAAAGCTGGTGTGGAGAAGTGTTCTGTAGCCAGTAAATGGAGGCTGCCTTCTTAACCATATCAGGCTTCTCACTTAATCAGGTCATTTATCAGACTACACCATTGATTTGATCAAGATCTATGTCCTATTCAGTGTCTAGATCACCTGGATTAGACTTTGGGTATTTCTAAAAATGATACAGAACATTTCTTTGTATCATTTCTGCAGATAGCTGATCTAATTAATGTCTTGATTCTTAGAGTGCAGTTTGGGAGTTAGCTTGCAGTTATACTCTTGTTACTATTGATGTCTCCCATACATTCCAATAAACTGAGTGGCCAATTATATCAGTGCCCTCAGGTTTTGTTTCACCTTTTTAATTTAATCATTAGTTTCTAGAATTAGTATTAAGGCCTTTTTTGGGTCAGAATTTGGTTTGCCACTTCTTATACTTGATATCTTTTTTCTCTTTTAACCACAAAAATAACAGCTATGTTGTTTCCCGTGGGAATGTTCTGGCAATTTCAAAATATAAAATACACCAAATAGTTAACCTATGACCAATAAGACCTCACATTGTTCATCCAATGAGAAAATGTCTGGGCATTTTTCTGCAGCTTTATTGTTTTTGTTTATATGTAATGATGAAATAGTCTTTGAATTCTTCTGACTCTGTGATACAATTTCATAAGGTGTTTAGACAGTGATTTGATTTCAGTCAGTCTAGTTATCCTAGAATATGTTATCAATCACAATCGGAAGTGATGATCTTTCCATAAACCTAGTATTTAAAATACTATTTTATCAATTTCTTTTTTCTTTACCCTGTTATGTCACGTAGAGTTCATCTGTCAGAGTAAACCTAATGTGAACATCTTTGTTTATAAGATACTTGATGGAATACAGAAAAATAAGTCTTTGGTAGATCAGATAAGACTTTTTTTTTGTCCCCATTCTTAAGGACATAATCCCTCAAACAAGCATGTGACTAGGAAAATCAGGTCTCTGCTTTTACTCACTGTCCCACATATATGTGTTAATATACAATATTTGTTTTCCTCTTTCTGACTTAACTTTACTCTATGACAGTCTCTAAATCCATTCACCCTTGATATATTTCTTCTCCAAACATATCATTGAATTTTGTCACCACCCTTAAGAGTATTTTACTGATTGTCAGGATGTTTTGTACTGACTGACATTCCCTCAATTTTTATTCCAAACTCTGCCATTGTTTTTTTTAGTGTTGCCAATATGGAGACTTTCGGGTTCTTCGAACTCATTCTTAGGTCTGCTCAGCTGTACCCATAAGGATCTCATAGATAAGGAAGTATATTGACTGCACCCATGGGCCTCTTGTAGGTAGTGAGGATCAAAACTAAGAACATTGATTTCTGTCCACTCACACTGAGTTGACTGGTTCATTGATCACATTAGCAGTTGGGTGACTGATAGCTGTTCCATACATTGAAAGTCAAAGTGTTAGTTGCTCAATCGTGTCCAACTCTTAGCTACCCTGTGGATTATAGCCTACCAGGTTCCTCTGTCCATGGAACTGCCTAGGCAAGAATACCGGGCTGGGTAACCTTTCCCTTCTCCAAGGGATCTTTCCAACCCAGGGATCGAACCTGGGTCTTCTACATTGCAGGCAGGCCCTTTACTGTCTGAGCCACCAGGAAAGCCCATAAACTACTAAGAAGACTAGAATGTTGCTGATCAACCCAAATTCTCTTTAAAATGAAATTAATATTCCCCATCTAGACTAGAGGTTGGGAAACTGCAGCCCTCAGCTTTTGCAAGTAACATTTTCTTAGAACTCTGCCATTCCTATGTTTATGCAGGGAGTCTGGCTGTTCTATAGCAGCTGAGTTGATTGGCTGTGACAGAGACCAAATATCCTGCAAGCCTAGAATATTTACTATCTGGCCCTTTCAGAAACAGTTGGCCAACCCTTGACCGAGACTATCAGCAGTTGCCAGATAATCATGGTTTCACAGCAGAGGGAGTAGGATGCGTCCAAGGGACAGTATAAACAAACTATGCCTGAAACCTTCTCTGCCGTAGAAATGTACCTGAATTCATTAGAATTCCTCAGTCCTGTTAGATTTTGGTTTGGAGTTCTCTTTTGAGTAGAAGGCTTGCAGACCTTTTGTTTTGGTTAATGGCAAATTGAGTAGTTAAAATTTATATCTTCGTTGAACTTGGAAATTTCCAGATCCATTTAGTAACACATTTATACTCTCTATGTTGGGTATTTCTGAAGATATGTTTAATTACAAAAACTAGTAATTTATTAAGGTTCTTCCAGGTTTGGAGACAAAGGTGCATACGACACTGCCTACTCTATGGGAGCTCAGTCCGTGAAGCTAACAGGCATGTAAATAGATAAATTTCAATACATAGAACTCAACTTTTAATCAATTTAGTAAAGTGGATAGATTAGTTACTATTTCACCAATGGGTTGAAAAGAAAACTGATGCATTTTTTCAATTCAATTTGTACCAACTGTGGTTCAGGTAAGTGATGGGAACTCCATATAATAATTTTAAAATAAATTTACAAAAAAATTATAAAAGAAAATTTTAAAAATATAATGAAAAGGAATTAACCCCAATTTTTATAAAGCAGCAAATATTAAAAGTGTTATAATGTGAGGAATGAGGCTAGAATAATAGTGTAGGACTTCCCTGGTGGTTCAGTGGTTAAGACTCCATGCTTCCAACGCAGGGAGCAAGGTTCAATCCCTGGTTGGGAAACTTAACAGTGTATACATAGTTTATTTAAAGCAGTATCCAGGAGCTTCACTGGTGGCTCGGTGATAAAGAATCTGCCTGTTAATGCAGGAAACACAGGTTCAATCCCTGAACTGGGAAGATCCCACATACCTCGGAGCACTAAATCCATGCACCCTAGAGCCCATGCTCTGCAACAAGAGAAGCCACTGCAATGAGAAGCCCACATACTGCAACTTGAGAAAGCCCACACACATTTTTTTTTGTCCCCATTCTTAAGGACATAATCCCTCAAACAAGCATGTGACTAGGAAAATCAGGTCTCTGCTTTTACTCACTGTCCCACATATATGTGTTAATATACAATATTTGTTTTCCTCTTTCTGACTTAACTTTACTCTATGACAGTCTCTAAATCCATTCACCCTTGATATATTTCTTCTCCAAACATATCATTGAATTTTGTCACCACCCTTAAGAGTATTTTACTGATTGTCAGGATGTTTTGTACTGACTGACATTCCCTCAATTTTTATTCCAAACTCTGCCATTGTTTTTTTTAGTGTTGCCAATATGGAGACTTTCGGGTTCTTCGAACTCATTCTTAGGTCTGCTCAGCTGTACCCATAAGGATCTCATAGATAAGGAAGTATATTGACTGCACCCATGGGCCTCTTGTAGGTAGTGAGGATCAAAACTAAGAACATTGATTTCTGTCCACTCACACTGAGTTGACTGGTTCATTGATCACATTAGCAGTTGGGTGACTGATAGCTGTTCCATACATTGAAAGTCAAAGTGTTAGTTGCTCAATCGTGTCCAACTCTTAGCTACCCTGTGGATTATAGCCTACCAGGTTCCTCTGTCCATGGAACTGCCTAGGCAAGAATACCGGGCTGGGTAACCTTTCCCTTCTCCAAGGGATCTTTCCAACCCAGGGATCGAACCTGGGTCTTCTACATTGCAGGCAGGCCCTTTACTGTCTGAGCCACCAGGAAAGCCCATAAACTACTAAGAAGACTAGAATGTTGCTGATCAACCCAAATTCTCTTTAAAATGAAATTAATATTCCCCATCTAGACTAGAGGTTGGGAAACTGCAGCCCTCAGCTTTTGCAAGTAACATTTTCTTAGAACTCTGCCATTCCTATGTTTATGCAGGGAGTCTGGCTGTTCTATAGCAGCTGAGTTGATTGGCTGTGACAGAGACCAAATATCCTGCAAGCCTAGAATATTTACTATCTGGCCCTTTCAGAAACAGTTGGCCAACCCTTGACCGAGACTATCAGCAGTTGCCAGATAATCATGGTTTCACAGCAGA